GACATGAAGGAATATTAAATTTTATCAAAAGCCTTTCTGTATCTATGGGGGAATCATGTGTTTTTGGTTTTTATTTTGTTTTGTTTTGTTTGGGGTGTGTGTGTGTGTGTGTGTGTGTGTGTGTGATGAATCATAGTATTGATTTGTGTATGCTAAATTTGTGTATGTTAAGCCAAATTTGAATCTCAGGGTAAAGCCTACTTGATAGTGATGAATTATCTTCTTGATGTGCTACTGGATTTGGTTTGCTAGTGTATTAGTCCATTTTCATGCTGCTGATAAAGAAATACCTGACACTGGGTAATTTATACAGGAAAAAGCGTTTATTGGATTTATGGTTCCAGGTGGCTAGAGAGGCCTCACAATCATGGCAGAAGGCAATGAGGAGCAAGTCATGTCTTATGTGGATGGCAGCAGGCAAAGAGAGAGCTTGTGCAGGGAATCTCCTGTTTTCAAAACCATCAGATCTCAGGAGACCCATTCACTATTATGAGAACAGCATGGGAAAGATCTGCCCCATGATTCAGTCATCTCTCACCAGGTCCCTCCCACAACACCTGGGAATTATGGGGGCTACAAGATGATATTTGAGTGGGAACACAGAGCCAAACCATATTATTCCACGCCTGGCCCCTCCTAAATCTCATATCTTCACATTTCAAAACCAATTATGCCTTCCCAATGGTCCCCCAAGTCTCAACTCATTTCAGCAGTAACTCAAAAGTCCACAGTCCAAAGTCTCATCTGAGTCAAGGCAATTCCTTCTCCCTATGAGCCTGTAAAGTCAAAAGCAAGTGAGTTACTTCCTAGATACAATGGGGAAACCGAATTAGGTAAATACAGCCATTCCAAATGGGAGAAATTGGCCAAAACAAAGGGGCTATAGGCCCCATTCAAGACCAAAATCCAGCAGGGTAGTCAAATTTTAAAGCTCCAAAATTATGTCCTTTGACTCCATGTCTCACATCTAAGTCACACTGATGCAGGAGGTGTGACTTTGCATCATGACCTTGGGCAACTCTGCCCCTGGGGCTTTGCAGAGTATGGTGCCCCTCCTGGCTGCTTTCATGGGCTGACACTGAGTGTCTGTGGCTTTTCCAGGTGCATGGTACAAGCTGTTGGTGGAGCTATTATTCTGGGGTCTGGAAGACAGTGACCCTCTTCTCACAGCTCCACTAGGTAGTACCCCAGTAGGAACTCTGTTGGGGGGCTCTGACCCCACATTTCCCTTCCACACTGCCCTAGCAAAAGTTCTCCATGAGCACCCCACCCCTGCAGCAAACTTCCGCCTGGTCATCCAGATGTTTCCATACATCCTCTGAAATCTGGGTGCAATTCTTGATTTCTGTGCATCCACAGGCCTAACACCACGTGGAAGCCGCCAAGGCTTGGGGCTTCCACCCTCTGAAGCAACAGTGTGAGCCGTACCTTGCCTCCTTTTAGTCATAGCTGGAGCAGCTGGAATGCAGGGCACCAAGTCCTTAGACTGCACACAGTAGAGGGACCCTGGAGGCCCCACCTACAAAACCATTTTTCCTCTTCAGCCTCCGGGCCTCTTGTTGAAAGGGCTGCTACAAAGGTCTCTGACATGCCCTAGAAACATTTTTGACATTGTCTTGGTGATTAGCATTCGGCTCCTTGTTACTTATTCAAATTTTTGCAGCCAGCTTGAATTTCTCCTCAGAAATGGGATTTTCTTTTCTATCCCATTGTCAGGCTGCAAATTTTCCAAACTTTTATGCTCTTCTTTCCCTTTTAAAACTGAACACTTTTAACAACACCCAAGTCACATCTTGAATGCTTTGTCACTTAGAAATTTCTTCCACCAGATACCCTAAGTCATCTTTCTCAAGTTCAAAGTTCCACACATTTAGGGCAGGGGAAATATGCCACCAATCTCTGCCAAAATGTAACAAGAGTCATCTTTGCTCCAGTTCCCAACAAGTTCCTTATTTCCATCTGAACCCACTTCAATCTGGACTTCATTGTCCATATCACTGTCAGCATTTTGGACAAAGCCATTCAGCAATTCTCTAGGAAGTTCCAAACATTCCCACATTTTCCTGTCTTCTGAGCCCTTCAGAGTGTTCCAACCCCTGCCTGTTATCCAGTTCCAAAGTTGCTTCCACATTTTGGGGTATCCTTTCAGCAGCACCTCACTCTATTGGTACCAATTTACTATATTAGTCAATTTTCATGCTGCTGATAAAGACATATATGAGACTTGGCAATTTACAAAAGGAAGACATTTATTAGACTTACAGTTCCACGTGGCTGGAGAGGCCTCCCAATTATGGCAGGAAGGCAAGACAAGCCAGTCACATCTTATATGGATGGCAGCAGGCATAGAGAGAGCTTGTGCAGAGAAACTCCCATTTTTAAAACCACCAGATCTCGTGAGACCCATTCACTATCATGAGAGCAGTACGGGAAAGACCTGCCCCAACTCAGTCATCTCCCACTGGGTCCGTCTCACAACACAGGGGAATTATGGGAGCTACAAGATGAGATTTGGGCGGGGACACAGAGTCAAACCATATTAGCTGGCATTTTATTGAGGATTTTTGCATCTATGTTCATTAAGGATGTCGGCCTAAAGTTTTCTTTTCTTGTGTTTCTGCCAGGTTTGGTATCAGGGTGATGGTGGCCTCATAGAATAAGTTAGAAAGTAGTCCCTACTTCTCAGTTTTTAGAAATAGTTTCAAGAGTATTGGTACCAGCTCTTCTTTATATGTCTGGTAGAATTTGGCTGTAAATTTGTCTTGTCCAGAACTTTTTCTGGTTGGTGGGATTTTGTTACTGATTCAATTTCAGAACTCGTTATTGGTCTGTTCAGTTTTAATTTCAGAAATCCTTATTGGACTGTTCTTCCTGGTTCAATCTTGGGAGGTCATATGTTTCCAGGAATTTATCCATTTCTTCTAGGTTTTCTAGTTTGTATGCATAGAGGTGCTCATAGCTGTCTCAGGGATTTTTGTATTTCTGTGAAGTCAGTGGTAATATCTTCTTTCTCATTTCTGATTGTGTTTATTTGGATCATCTCTTTTTCTTTATTAGTCTAGCTATTGGTCTTTTAATTTTAGTTATTCTTTCAAAGAACCAACTTTTGGTTTTTATTGATTTTTTGTAGGGTTTTTCATGTCTCAATTTTATTCAGTTTAGTTCTGATTTTTGTTATTTCTTTTTCTTACACTAGCTTTGGAGTTGGTTTGCTCTTGCTTCTCTAGTTCCTCTAGTTCTGATGTTAGGTTATTAATTTGAGCTCTTTCTCACTTTTCGATGTAGCTGTTTGGCACTATAATCTTTCCTCCTAACACTGCTTCAGCTGTGTTCCAGAGATTCTGGTATGTTGCATCTTCATTTTCATTAGTTTCAAAGAACTTCTTGATTTTTGCCTTAATTTCATTTTTACCTAAAAGTCATCCAGGAGTAAATTGTTTGATTTCCATGTAATTGTATTGTTTTAGAGGTCTTCTGAGTATTTATTTTTGTTTTTATTGTGCTATGGTCTGGGAGTGTGGTTGGTATGACTTTGCTTTTTAACAATTTGTTGAGAATCACTTTATTATCCAGTGCATGGTTGATTTTAGAGTGTGTGCCATGTGCAGATAAGAAGAATGTATATTGTGTTGCTGGATGAAGTGTTCCTATAGGTGTCTGTCAGTTCCACTTGGTAAAGTATTAACTTTATTTCCTGAATATCTTTCATCATTCTCTAATACTTCTAATGCCTTCATGCTCTAATACTGCCAGTCGGGGATGTTAAAGTCTCCCACAGTTATTGTCCACTGGCTAAGTCTCCTCATAGGTCTCTAAGAATGTTTTATGAATCTGGGTGCTCCCAGTGTTGGGTGCATACATATTTAGGATAGTTAGGTCTTTCAATTTTTTTGTTGAATTAAACCCTTTATCATTATGTAAGGCCCTTCTTTGTTCTTTTTGATTGTTACTGGTTTAAAGTCTGTTTTGTCTGAAATCAGAATAGCAATTCCTGGTCTTTTTTGTTTTCCATTTGTTTGATAGGTTTTTCCATACCCATTTACTTTGAGCCTGTGGGTGACAACATTCATTTGGGTCTTGCTTTATCTGACTTGCCACTCTTTGCCTCTTACGTGTAATGTTTAGACAATATACATTCAAGGTCAATATTGATATGTGCAAATTTAATCCTGTCATCATGTTGTTAGCTGGTTGTTATATAGACTTGATCGTGTAGTTGTTTTATAATGTCAATGGTCCATGGACTCAAGTGTGTTCTTGTGATGGATAGTACCGTTCTTTCATTTCCATGTTTAGTACTCTCTTGTAAGGCAAGTTTGGCAGTAATGAATTCTCTTAGCATTTGGTTGTCTGCAAATGATTTTATTTCTCCTTCACTTATGAAGCTTAGCTTGGCTTCCTACCACTAGTCTCCTAACAATGCTCACCATCTACCAAATCAAAATGAAAATCAGAGAGCAAATATTTCACTGTTGTTATGATTCCTGGGGCAGGACTTAACAATCTGTACTTATTTTGAAATACAGTTAATAATTTGGTTGCATCCCAAGTTCTGAGAAGCACTAAAGTCCAGAGAAAACTGTAAGTCTTGTTCCATTAAAGTCCAGTACAAACTGTGAGTCTTGTTCTATTCCATGCGTGAGAAAACATTTTTTTGTAAAGGGCCAGATGGTAAACATTTTAGGCTTTGTGGGCCACACAGTCTCTGTAGCAACTACTCATCTCTGCCTTTGAATAGCAATTAAAAAAAAAAAAGCCTTGGCAAGACTTTGCCCCCAGTAGGCTGGATTTGACTTACAGTCTGTAGTTTGCAGATTCATGCTCTACTTTGTGAGAGCCAAAGTTTCCATGGAATATGGAGTATTGTGTTCATTACTACCCTTGCTTAAAAAAGAGAATTCCTGAATACCCTCTGATGTTTGAAGTTTTAAACATATACTTCTTATAAACTTAAATTAAAAGCTTTAAAAAATACTGATAATTATACATATTAGTCACACCAGAAGTGAAATTTGACAAATGTCTTCAAAATGGGAAGCTCATATCCCAGAAAGATGGTCTATTGAGGTATAGAAGGGAATATTAGAAGTTTTATTTCTATTTATTTATTATCACATTTGTTTAAAAATTTTTTACAAACACTTTATTAGGTACTTAAATTATCAGTACTATAGTAAATACAAATATTTACAAATTAAGTAAATTATTAAATTTATTGGAATGCAAATTTGGCAAAGTAAGAACTTTTAAAACTCCATCCCTTCATAAAATCAATGAGAATACTGATAAACAATTGTTAAAATCATCTTTTTAAGTGCTCTGGAAATTAACCAAAGGCTTGCAATACAAGGAAAGTTTATTTGAGGAAATTGGCTGAGTCTTAGTAAGAACATTCAGCTTTTTGACAATTTAACTTGCCCTATTCCTATTTCCTTTCTCCCAGCACTGTAAGATCCCTGAAAATCAGTGGGTTTGGAATGGTGGTACCTGTGAAACACAGCAGTCCAGCAGCCACTGGAGGGAGGAGAATGAATTTGAGCTCCCCCAAAGCTTCATCCTCAGAGAATTCTTATTATCTGACCTGTCTTGGAGCTACTGAAAAAATCCCATTCTCACGGTTTGTCTTTATTTGAACTGACTTGAAGCACAATGAGTGAAAAATATTTGTGTTCGGGACACTTGTAAAAAAAAAAAATCAGAGGCAATTGCTAAACAACCTAGCTACCAAGGGTCACCACTCCAGTTGGGATAATCAAGAGACCAAAAAATAAAAAGGAAATAAGGAAAATGAGACCTCCATAAGGAGTTTTGAAAATCTCTAACATGTTCCTGGGAATCTAAAGGTGCATGTGCAGGGCTGGAATATGCCAAGAAAATACTTGAGAAGATTTTAATAACTTATCCATGGCTCACCTAAGGCTCTTTGCAAACAAGAAATGAGATATAAAGCATAGCTGTAAACTGCTAGAGCACTGAAAGCATACCCCAACCCACACCACAAGGTCTCTCTGCAAAGGATGAGAGACTTACTCGTTCAAGGCATTTCAGGAAATTTCTGTGCAATCATTATTTGACTACTAAAATAACTGAGTGGTGACAAGACTTCAGTGGCTGTGCATAACAAAGAACACAGACTTTACAGAATAAATCCAGGAAAGTCACTAAACAAAGAAACAGATAAACAGAAAAAGAAACAACAAACAACTCTGGGAAAGGGGTAGAGACCTAATTCCCAGAGTTGCCATGCATTTTATTTAAAATATGCAGGTTTCAATAAAAATTACAAGACATATGAAAAAATAGAAAAGTGTGTCTAATACACAGGAAAGAAAACAATCAACAGAAAGTAGGGTTAAAAAATAAAACCCAACATATTAGACTTACAAGACAAAGATTTTAAATCAAATACCATTAAAAGAACAAAATAAACTAAAAGGTAGTATCTGCCTGCCAAGGCAGGCAGATCACTTGAGTCCAGGAGTTTGAGACCAGTCTGGTCAAAATAGCAAGACCCCAACTCTACTAAAAGTATAAAAGTTAGCTGGGTGTGGTGGTGCACACCTGTAATCCCAGCTATTAAGGAGGCTGAGGAACAAGAATAGCTTGAACCCGGGAGGTGGAGGTTGCAGTGAGCTGAGATTACACCACTGC